CAAATGCTTGATTATATGCTCTTATTTGGTCAACAAATGGTACTTTAGATATTGGATCTTTTTCTGTAAGAAAATAATAAATTTCTGGTGGTGGTGCTTGAAGTGGTGCTAATATAACTTGACCATTCATGCAACAAAGTCCTGGTTTTTCCCTCTTCCATCTTAATGCCCCACAATGTTTACATTCAATGTCCATTTTTCCCACACTATGCCCCCCAATGTTCTTTTTATCATCCCTATCATTATCATCGTTATCATTATCATCACTATCATCCCCACCATCATCCCCATCATCATCCCCATCATCATCTCCATTATCATCTCCATCATCATCTTCACCATTATCTTCAACCTCCTTCTAATATTCATCTAAACTACAATATCCTATTTTATAAAATTGTCCAAACTGTTCTGTTTTTTCTTTTTATATACTTTCTTTCTTTTTTCTAAATTTTCTTTTTTTTTTGCTTTACTCAAAGAAGCTCTATGTACTCGTTGTCTATCTTTTTGACCTTCTTTGTTTTTATTCTTGAGCTTGATGATGCTTTAGAAGTTCTAGACCTTGTTCTTGTTGAAGGTCCTCCTGCATTTCTTTTTTCTAATACTTGATAATATCTATATTTAGCATTTCTTTTATTTTTTAATCTTTTTTTCTATCTTTTCTAGGTTCAGTTTCAGGATTTTCAGGTGCTGCATATTCTTTTAAAATATAATCAGGAGTAGGTCCTCTTTATTTTGTCTCTTTCTTTTTTTCTTTTCTTTTTCTTTTGGCATTTTTTATCTCAAAAAAAAAAAAAAATTATAATAAAATTATTAATTATTTGTATAATTTATAAAAAAACAAAACATTTATTAAATAAATAGTATAAATTTTTAAAATTTTTGCTTTACTTTAATTGTAAATTTTTTACCTTCTTTTTAAATTTTACATGTTTTAATTAATTTATAAATTTAATATTAATTTATAATGATTTAATTAAAATTTTTATTATTAAACTTACTATTATTTAATTTATTTAATATGTTTTTAAAACCTATAACATAATAATTTATTAGTTTAACAAAAAAATTAGTATAAAATTTAACAAAAATTAAGTGTTTTTTTTTTTTTTTAAGAAAAAAGATTAAAAAACATTTAAAAAACATTTTTGCCGAAGGTTTGATACAAAACGTATCCATAAGTTACACGAATTTCGGTACGTTACGCCAATTTTGGTACATTATGCCGATACGTTACGTTATGCCGATTCGTAACGTTACGCCGATTTTATCTATTTTTATATTTTTTAATTAATTAATTATTAATTAATTAATTATTTATAATTAATTATTTTTTTTTAAATACGTATAACGATACGTATCATGTACGTGGTCACGTGACCCCGATTTCGGGTTTCCGACCATTTTCGTGGGAATTCGAATTCCCGTAAGTCATGTGACTTCGTCATTTGATCTGAGTTTAAACTCCGTTTCGGCGGAGTTTGAAACTCCTCAGATTTCGCAGAAATGCGAAATCCGAAGTCACGTGACTTCGTCGTTATACGATCGGAGTTTAAAATTTCACTCCACTTTTCTATTCTCTTCTCTTTCGCTCTTTTCTTTTGCGCTCTCTTTGCCTCCACTCCCCCATACCCACACCCTCTTCCCCTCCATCCCACTTCCACTTTTCCACCCACACTTCTATTCTCATTCCGTCCTTCTTATCTCTTTATCGGCTCTAAAAAAAAAAATTTTAAATTTTTTTTTTTATCTACTATTTGACACTTCGTGTTACTAATTATTTTATAAACAGAACGGTTATAATAAAAATACCTGCGAAGCAGGTATTTTTATTATGACCGTCCTGCTTATAAAATAATTAGTGACACCAAATGCCAAATAGTAGAGTGTCAACAATGTTGAAACATTGATGCGTAAAATTTGACAAAGTTGCAAACATGCCTAAATACTCAACAACTCCAGGAACAAGTCATAAAACAACACCCACATAAATGATATACACCTTGCGAAAAGTGCAAAAACTTAAATTTACTTTGTGATTATAATATACCGTGTAAAGTCTGCAAAAACGAAAAAATCACTTGTGAATAACACTTTACTAAAAAAGACCTATACAAGGTACAACAAAAGATTATTAACTGGCAGGAACAGTTAAGAAACACGTATAAAGAAGCTGCTATAATAACAGAAAACCTACGAGTAACTAATATATATACCAACCAAGAATACAGCGAAGCTCATTAGATACAATAATTGAATCATTATTACAATCATTAGAATTATACATTGAAAAAACTCTACCATATAACCAAATATCTCAAATCGAAATACCAATTCGATTAATTGAACACATATTCACTGAAATATTACCACCGAACGAAATCTAAGAGACTTAGACTAAAACCTCAAGAAGGAGCACAAACATCTAAATCTCATTTATAATTACCTAATGGGAATAGTTTATTCAATAATCAAAGAAACTATTAAAGAATATTTTAATCAGGAAACAAGAAATACTTACGATTTATATGAAGAACAAGAAGTTGAACGAATATATATTAAACATTCAAAGTGGAATATATACCCAGAACAAATATTAAGAAAGATTGATATTGAAAATCCACCTTTTAGATATTTTTGGAACCATAATCCAATACCAAGAAACACTAATAGATCTGTAATAAACCCTCACGAAGAAATATTACACCAAAGAGGAATTGAGGAAAT